ATTTTTCAAAAGTCCACACAAATGATTCAGATGCAGCTTATTTAAAGATAATCTCCTTTATTCCATTAAAATAGATAAATTAAAGATGATATTGAAAATATAAATTTTTATATTCTAGCTGCTCTTTTTACATGATTTGTACACGTCGCTAATAGCATTAATGCCTCAATATAAACCAAAAATCAATAAAAGTTGCATAAAATAATTTTTTTTCAAAGCTGTCAATAAAAATTCAATCCTATTTCAAAAGCTCTTAAATTAGACATAAAATGATCTAATAAAATTCAGCTTCAACACCTATGCGCCAAATTTTATCTATGGATAATTTTTGCATCTCATTTGAACCGCCGCACAATGTGCACAAATTTAATGTATTTTTGATAATGAAATTTACAAGGAATATAAATTGCATCATCAAATTCAGAACAGTTACATCCAAAAAAAGTATTTAATATGAAATGCAAAATTTGCATCAGCAGCTGTAGCAGCCTAAAATTTATTGATTTTTATATTTAACCAAGCCACAGAAATGTTCATGCTATCAATTACACAATAAGTATAATGAAAATGGTAAAATGATGATATCAAAAATACATTCAGCCTCTGTTTCACCTCCTCGTACTGACTCGCTTCTTTTTCCCATGCTTTTTCCTCCTTCGAAAGTCATTAAATGCATCGAGTGTTGAAAAAAAAATTCTTCCCATTCCAGCATCACACTCCGAATAATTTACAGCTATCGCAATTGTGCACACGATTTTACTCCCTCATCGACCATCTCTGTTCAGTGTGCCTCCTTCTCGCTCTCACAGACAAAACCGCAGAATGAGATAACATAATGATGTTTAAAATTGTGTAATTACATGTAATTAACCTAATAAAATGGAAAAGTATTGCCTTTTTGCCTTATGCTTTTGCTACTACTATTGCTATTGCTGTTCTGTTATTCGTTTGGAATTTTCTACACTGCGAAATGGGAATTATGATATGAGTGGAGGAGATGAAATAGTTAAAAATTCTATTTTGGTGATTTGATGGAGTTTAGAGAGCATTTGATGTTGCAACTATAATATTTGAAGATTTTGAATGATGGCTATGAGTTAAATTACTTTGTTCAAGCTAGATTTGTCATACTTGAATACTCAGACTAAAGATAGTAAGACTCAGACGTGTTGTAATAGATCTGCACAACCTACGTTATATGCGAAGTGAGCAAATTATACAATCTCATGGAAAGTACAAATATCCGAATATGCTTTAAATACGACGAGCATCTTATCTTAACAAACGGTACAAAAATGAGAAGACATTCCAACATTTCTCACAAAACTCAAGCTACAAAAAACAGCGAAGCTTAATTTTTTTCTGTTTTGTCTCTTCTTTGACTCACTCTCTATCGCTTGTACATGCGAGGTCTGCTTGTGACAATGATAATAGTTGGTTACATTTTATATCGCTTAATTTAATTTCAATAAATTATGAGATTGTTATTTTTTTGTGTGTCATCATCGACCATTTAATGTGATATCAAAGAACTAAACTTCTTCTTGCTTGTGCTGAAATTTTTTTTCCAGATAATTAATTTTTATATGTTGTTCATTATTTCGAGTACATTAATTGTTAATAAATTTTTGAGCATGATGAAGATGTTAATTGACATTTTATATTGTCATTGATTTTTGTTTGAAGTGCTAAATGACTTGGTTTTTGTTGAAAAATCACTTCTGATAATTTGGTGTTTTGTAGCTGTTCTAGAAGATAAGATTAGGTGATTTATAGAATAAATTAATTGTAGATTAGCTTTTAAATTTTTATTAGATAGACTTGACATTTTGTTTGGCATAAAGAATTAGAATTCAGGAATGTGATGATGGTGAAATACTTAAATCTATCTCAATACTTTCTACCAAACTTCCAAACAAACTGTTTTTTAAAATCATCATCTGAATATTCAGTCAAGTTTCAATCCCCTGCTGCTAATAAAACTCTCTAATTTGTCATTGTAACACTGAATAAGGAAGAAAGGATGACATTGTCTTGATTATACTCTAATAAAGTAATAAAAAGGCTGTTTCAAAATTAATAATAGAGTGAATAATGCTTTGAAGGTTATCATTGAAAATCGACTAGCTATTAATTATTATCTTTTAATCCATATTAATGTAACATTCATCTTTTCATTACTAAGATGATAATGAATGGATGCTTCGACAGTACCGCAAATGATTTTCTATAGGGTTTTGCAGCAGTGACTAAATTTGTTTTAAGCTTATTATGGTTTTCTAAACTGTGTGTAGAAGACTTAACAATACATTTCAATGTGTTTTGATGACTGTCTGTAATACTATGTCAGGTGCAATGCGGTTTATTCAATTTTTGTGTTTATAAAATATGAAATTTGATTGTTTTTGGGCTTCCTCAATTCAATGACGAAAAGTTATTGTTTGTTTGAATAACGCATTTGATATTGTATTATTGTGGATACTTGGTAGCTGTAAAAATTTTGTTTTTGGTGCTTTTCTTGTTTCAAACAGTTTTTACTCTGGATTAATAACCAAATTTACCAAAAAATCATATCAATTACATCTCATTTAAGTCTTTTGACAATTTTATGTCCAATAAATTTGAATAAACTTGATGAAAAAGGAAATACATCTTGTTTGTGGCTACTGTGACATTTTCAAACGTCAATTGATCTTCAAGTCTATTTCCCTTATCTGTATCTATTTTGCTGTATCTTTTCCTTGATACGCCTCGCTGTTTTAGATCCCAAAATAGATCATCTATTAAATTTTATGTCCAAAAACTCAAATGTGTTGATTACGATCTTTAAAATTGTTATTCATTTGATTTGAACAGCTTTAAAAAATATCAAATAAATCAGCTAAATTTTATGACGTCAAATTTCCTGCTGCTTTACGTGCTTATGAGCATGAATACATTGAAATATTCAGCACTTGACTATTTTTTGTGTGCCTTTCATTCTGAATGTTATGAGCATTGAAATAAATGAAATTATAACTGTGAACATATCCATTAGTTTATGTCGCATTTGACAAATTTATGAACAGATTCCTTCCTTGGTCTTCACCAATGATTATACTGACGCAGAAGACATAACCACATATTTCATTGATTAGTATTGATTGAGACTTGTAATCCTCGATTTTTGATTATTGTAATCTCTGCTTATTATTATTGCAAATGTTGATAAGACACACGCAAGTCTGTAAATGAATGAATTGAGAAAAGTATGAGATCGTGTGGTTTAAAGCGCATTTTTATTAGACAGATGATACCCAAAAATGGCCACATATAGTCTGTCTTATTGCAACTGAACTTCACTAAATTTCACTTTTAAAAAGTTTGGTGCTCATTATGATCAAAACTTGTAAAAGCTGATTTTAATCAATAAAGACACGCTTAAAAAATTCTATGAAAATACAAGCAATCAAAACAAGACAAACAGCTCTTCTTCCTATTAAGCTACTGAAATAAAACAACCAAAAATTATCTTAATAGGAACAAAAAAATTCATCAATGTGATTATTAATTAAGAGCGTAAACGACGTCCATAATGTGATTCCATATTCATCATCTAATAAAATGTTGATCAACATTCATCAGCTGTTGTGACAAAAAACAAGTTTTGTCTGCGTATATGGACTATGCTAAATATTTGCATTTGATGTTAAGTGATACAGAATATTTGTTCAAAAAAAAAATAGACATAAAATTTGCATATGAATATGAAACAGAAGAAATATTTGTCTATATTTGAATTGATCTAATAAATCGAATATGGCTGGCTTTTTATAGCTCTTTGGAGTGTGATGTATGTAGACGATAAGATGGACTTGAAATTAATTTTTATTGACTCTTTTTTTTACAACTTTTCAAATATTTATTTAACTTTACGCAAGCCTTTGTCTTTGCCTTCACACAATTAAAATATTGCTTCAATATTCACCGACAATTAAGCATCAGTGCAATGGATAAAAGCGACAATGTTCTATAATTTATCTCCTCTCTTTTATGATAATTTCACTTGGGGATGAGATTCGCTAAATGAAGACAGAAAGAAAGTGATAATAGGAGGTGTGACTTAGTAAGCATCCCTCTGGTAGCGTGTCTATGATTGTAAAATTAATAGTCTCATTTAAAGTTTAAAGAGTTCTTTGCAAGAGAATTAGAAAGTGAGAATGTTTAATTTTATAGAAAAAGTAGAATATGCAGACATGATGATTAGTTTTATGTCACAATCATTTTCTAAATTCTAGATAGATCTCAATGAATTATTACAGAGTCACCTCAATCAGAATATTATCTCACCTCTCTATTTGATATTAAAAATTAATCCTAAAATCACGCGAGCTTATGTCGCAATGATTTATGCAAAAGTCTTTCAGAAAATTTAAATTCAACACGATCTTCAAGAAATAAAAAGAAAACAACGAAGAAAGACGAAGAAGATCCACAAAAAAAAACTTGTGGTTTTAAAAAAAATGACCAAATATTTCATCCATTCATTGACTTTTATTGTTGTTTATTATGGGCATTTAGAGCAGAGCTAGTTTTGTTATAGCTAATGTTATTTTTGAACGTGATGATTTTGTGGATTTGAATAAGAATTTTTACGTCTTCTTTATTTTCCAATCAGAATTGGGTCAGTAGAATTTCTGGATAACAAATTGAAATCTCTCAGAGAATCTTAATCTTTAGCACCTTATATCCAATTTTTTTTCATCTCTTCTTCTCCAAATTAATCGTTTTATAATCACCTTCATTATTATTTTGCATAGCTAAACAAGCCGAAGATGAGCTTCGCGAGTAATTTTTTTTCTCTGTATTTCTCATTCAATATCTTTAAAACAAGAAATACGGAAGGACCTTGATCTTTAATGAAGAAAAAAGAGCTTTTGCTAACATTTTTCTTCATCTCATCAGATGTGTCTTTGGTGGATCTAGAGCATATAAAAACGAAAGATTATCGGTATTGCTTCATTAGTTTCAATATACAATCAGTTGTGGTGATATCTAAGGAATAGAAAAGAAAAAAAAGATGAGACAATTTGTCGTTCTATGTGTTTTGGCATTGTTCGCTGTAAGTTTAAATATCGAATTTTAAAGTGAAATTTAATGAAATCGGAACTGTTCTGAAGTTGATTGAAGTTAGCTTCCTGATCAATTATCTAGCAAAAAAGATCTCAACTGGATATAATCGAAATATACTTTGAACATTTGATCTGCTTAAGTGACCAAAAAAAAAATTGAAATTTAAAGAAACTTAGTAAATTAAATTCACCTCGAATTTTAAACAAATCAGGTTAAAATCATAAAATTGTCTTTATTCAAATTTACTCAAGATCAATGATCAAAGACAGTTAATTCGGTTAATGACAAACAATAGATTTTGATTTTTTTGAAATGAAATCAAATTAAGAAAAGAGTTGGATAAACAGATGAGTTGAAAGTTGGAAAACTTACTTCTTTTAATGTGACTAGATAATTTTTAAATGTACTGAAATTCAGCAATATTTTAGAATCCTAGAATTGTAGAAGTTTAAAGAATTTCCTAGGTTTTAATTAGATCTTTACTGCGACTTTAATTCTTCTTAATAATCAGAGCTGATGTAATTGGAAAACTATAATTTAAAAATTTGAAAAACTCTTAGGGTGCATTTGCTGATATTGGACTTGACCTCCAACATTCTAATGGATACAACTATGAGCGTAAGTTAACGAGAACTATAAAATAAGATTATTCAAAATTGTAAAACATTTTTTTCTTAACACAGCTCCAGAAAATCCAATGTACTTGCCACCAAAAGAAGTTGTTGAAGTTGTTGACAGTGCTGAATGCCCACCTCCACCGTAAGTCTTTTCAAATATTTTTTGTTTCAAAGATTCGAAAATTTTCCACAAATTAGTTTTTCACTGCAGAAATTTTAAAAATACATTTTTTCTTCACAGACCTGCACCTGAATGTCCAGCTCCACCAGCATGTCCACCAATGTAAGTACTATATTTTTCAGAAATATTTGTTTAAAACTAACAATTTCGATGAATTTTCTAGTCCACCACCTGTAACATGTCCTGCACCACCGTAAGTCAAGCTTAATGCTTCTATTTTTTAAAAAATAAATTATTAAATTGAATTTTTTGTTCAGACCTCCACCAAAATGTCCCCCACCTCCTGTATGTCCTCCAGCACCGTAAGTTTTGATCAATCAAAAAAATCTTTAAATTAAAACTAATTAAATCAAAATTATTTTTACAGAGTATGCCCAGAACAACCAGATAACAGCTATTTGCCACCATCAACTGATTATCTTCCACCAGGGAGAAAATTCAAGAAATTGTTCTAAGCTTTTGGCTAAGCAAACTGTTGCATGAAGCTCTATGAGTGTTGATTGTTGTACAGATTATTGTTGAGATCTATCAAAATTTTATAATTTATTACTCAAAAAAATGCACAAATAAATTAGTTTTTTTAAATTTATAATTTTGTTGGTATTTTAATCTGTTTACAGGTTCCAGTGGCTTCCAAAATTTGAAATTTGGTCAAGCACATGTACCTGATTCGAATAGAATCGTTACTTTAGATTGCCAGAAATATTTATCACGATAATCCACTTCAAATCTATCCATGCAAAATTTATGCAAGCATCTTCATATGTAAATGCCTTAGAACCTGTTAAATTCTTCCTTATTTCTTACTTACTTTTCAAACTAAAAGTTTGTATGAAAATCAAAACGAGAATCCAAATTATCAATAATCCATGAGCTATTAAAATTGTTGAAATCGATAACATTTTTGTTCTCTTGCTTCCTCTTCGCTGAATTTAAATTGATGCTCAAAAATGTTGAGAATAACTTTGCAATCCATTAATGATTATGTCTGTGAATTTATAATCAATTTTTTATGCATCGAAATTCGAGAAATGTTCGATAAAAAATGTCTATATATTCAATAAGATGACTGATCAAATTGAGTGATTAACGAATTTATAAATTTTATTGGATATTCATTTCAAATTAGCTTCCTGACTCTTTGGAGGAAAAAAATGGACTTTTTCCTGATTGCCTTAAGTCGGTAGCAAATAAATAATTAGCAGTGGATATGATCATCAAAATTTGATATTTTATTTTCTAGCATCTAAACAGCTTTAAATTAATTTAATTTTTTTTCGATATAATAAAAAAACATTTCGAAGAAACACAAGAGTATCATATTGCAGCCATGACAATACCACAATGGACATTGTGACACACTTGACTTACTTCCTTCTAAATGTTTAACTGTATGTCAAAAGTAATCATTTTTGAAGAGATTGTGGAAACTATACAACTGCCAAAGCTACAATATCATATCACTCGGGTCTAAAACCTTCTCCACAATTTGACCTTGAAAGGCTTCGGTGCAAGAGAAATTCCATCGATTCCCAATAGATCCGGTAATTCACCAACACATTTAATATCAAAAGAATGCACAATTGATGCAAAAAATAGGAAGAGACTTGATTTGGCAACATTTTCTCCTAGACATCGACGCTTTCCCATAGCTGCAATGTTTATTTAAAATATTTATTCAAGTATTAAGGAACAGACAAAAAAAAACTCACCGAATGGAATGAAATAATCCGGAAAAATTAAATCTCCATCATCGTTTAAAAATCTTTCTGGCATAAATTCAGCTGGCTTTTTCCAATTCTTATCGTCCATATTGAGACTATATAGATTGCATAAAATTGTTGCATCCTTTGGTATTAAAAAGCCATTAAGATGAGCATTTTTCACAGCACGATGTGCTATACCAAGTGGCGCTATGTTTGCACATCTTTGAACTTCACTTATGACTGCATCTGTGTATTTTAATTTTGGTCGATCATTTAGTTTTGGGAGTTTATTGGCACCGACAATTGACATAATTTCTACTTGAACTCTACGCATAACTTTTGGATAGTGCAACATGTAAAGGATTGCAAATCCAAGAGAATTAGCTGTTGTCTCTGATCCAGCTTGGAAAAAGTCGATACAAATTCCAAAAAGCTGTTCGTCACTGAAAAAGTTGTCCTGATCATGGAGTTTTGACATTTCTTTGATATAGGCTTCGATAAAACATTTTGGTTCCAATGCTGGATCGTAATTTTCTTTAATTATTTCAATTTCATCTGCCAAAAAGCTCCAAATTGGTTTCATTGTGTCTACAAGCTCTTTATAGCCACATTGTTCTGGCATTAAATATCGAATTGCAGGAAATAGATTTAATATGCCACCAGACATGTCAAGCACTTGAAAATTTTTATGGACAGCTGCAACTAAATCAATCAGCTTTTGATCATCAAGTTCGAATCTTTCTCCTTTCAGCAGAACCCACATGAGATTGAGAACAGAAACATCAAAGGCACTGTGCATTGGAAATACATCACAGACTTCAGATTTTCTCATAAGTTCGCTGACTAGTTCCTCAGCTTCATGTTCAATATGTTTAACCATTCCAAACTTTCCAACGCCTAAGTGCTTCAATGTTGTTGCTGAAAACCTTCTTTGATTCTCCCAGAAATGTCCATCAGTAAATACAACACCAAGTCTCTTCTCAAATGTTCTGATTCTGAAGAAAAATCCATCTGGCCGACCATTAAGTTCATCACGAGTATAAACCTCTTTTATTGCTTCTTTGCTGGATACAATGACTACATACTTATGAAAAAATTTAAGACCAACAACAGGTCCGTATAGTTTTGATAGATTATGCCACAATAAGTGATGAAATTTGAGAATTTTGATATGTTTAAGGATGTTGATGTTGCCAACGATTGGAAGGAATTTCGGACCTGGAGGGAAGTCCATAGGCCGTTTCGTAAGCAGCCAATAGCAAACCAAAATAAACACCATAATTATGACTGAACTTAAAAACATTTTATATATTACTCAATACTTTCTCCACGACCGATCAGAACAACTTTCAGTGACAGAATGAAGCTTCAAAATTCTTTAAAAAATACTCAAAATGTAAAAATCAGAAAGAGTCACAAGTTCATAGAATTTTAAAGATGCTAATGAAAATCTGATTTGTATTATTGTGTTAAATTTCACCTTTTTGTGTCATCTTCTTCGGTCCGATCTTTACCTATGTTACGTCATAAGTTGATTCCATTGTTATGATTGAAAGTAAAAACACAATGCATAGAAACTGAAAATGTAGAACGATGGATATTTTTAGAATATTAAAAATTTGACAGAACTCACGTAGTACATGCTCTGTTTTGTGAGTGATGCTTACTGCTGAATTTAGATTGTTTTTAGATTTTTACAAAGAAAACTGCTGATTGTCTGTTGTGTATTGGATGTAATTTAAAGTCAGTATTGGTCTTTGGTTTGAATTCGTTTTGCCAAGAAGAGTCCACTCTTGATAATTTGCAGATGCATCCCTGAATATAGTTTAAAATCATTCAAAGCTGCAGCAATAAATCGTTCAGCATCACAACAAACCAATTCCATAAAAAATAATCTTTACTCTACTCTGATTAATCCAATAACTTACGCTCCAAAAAACACTATTTTTTAAACATTCAATAGCTCTTCGAAAAATTAATCCGCTGACCTATTTATGTCCGATACCAAAATAAATTTTAATTTTTAGAGCGCAATGTTTATTTAATCACTATAAAAGTATTTGATGCGGAGCTTATGAAATTTTTTCCCCCGAAATAAAAAAACAATAAAACTTTTCTATGAAAAATTCTTTCATTAAGCAGCATTATAAATTGCTGTATTTTTGCCATGCTGCAGCTAAAGAAGCAATTTTGCCATAATTGCATAAACAATTTTCCATTGTTTTAAAACATTTCTTTCAAATCCAAAAACCATTAACCATAGAATTGATTGATTGACATTTTAATGAACCTAACGATAGTGAAATTTTTTTGTAATTTTGGAAAAAGCAACAAAAATTGTTTTCCAATAGCCAAAAATTTTTTCAATAATTACGAAATTATTGCTTTAAAAAATAAAATTTCCTCTTAAATAAAATAATTGAATTCATTAAAATGAGTCAGTGATAATCGATGATGTAATTATAGTCGTTATTATTATTATCATAACAATTTATTAATTTGGTTTGATTTAATTACCTTTCAGGACATTGAAAATTAATTAATCTTTATGCATTGCATATCAAATGAGTAATCTGAGTGGATTCATGATGAATTTGGTTAAATGATAGGTCATGTATTTGTGACATGACTAGTGTCAATGATTTTGATGTTGATAGATTTAATTGATATCGTTTCATTAGCTTTGACATACTAGATGCTTGTGTATAATGTTCTGGCTCGTTATGTTGATGGAGAATGCTTTAATAATCCAAATAAACTTCTAAGGCTACCGTGGGCTAGAAAATATTCGATTTAAATACAATTTATCTTTGACCAGGCTAGGTTTCTCCAAATAACCATAGAAACTAGCTTTCATTTTGCACTAATTAGACTTTAAAATCCCACAGCGAAACATAAAAAGAATCTACAAAAACAGATGCAGAACGAGCCAACCTAAGAAAGAAAGAAAACCTCATTAAACGAAAATATGGTATAAATAATCAAAAGTAAAATAAGGAAGCGACCGTCACAACAAAAGTAGAAATTATTCTCACTGCTTTACCGTCATTTTGTACACCCTTTAAATAATTTTACGCATGAAGACATTCAAGTAAATCCAACTCATGCAGAAAGAGGAAAGGTTTTTGTCAGCAATGCTTACGAAAATGTAGACATTAAAAGTTTGTCCAAAAGGACATGGATTGTAAAAACAAAGCCAACAGATAAGCGCTGAGCAGAGCATTTTTTGATTTATATTGTTCGACCTTCTGGAGAGTGGAAGCAGAAGTGTTGCTGTATAAAAGAACGAAAGACAGTAAAAATAAAAGTTTCTTCTTTAATTTTTCTTAAATAAGACATAAAAAATAAAGAAAAAGGAACAAAAATAAATGCAGGACATTTTCTCTTCTCTTCTTTATGGCCGAATACAAACTAGTGCGAATACAGACGGATACTCACACATGATTCTTGTCTTTTATCCATTTATAGTTCATTCATTTTTTAAAAGGTCCGATTTTCCTCTTTTTATTGCTTCTCATTCATTTATTGCTCGTGTCTTCCTCATTTCTTTAAAAGCAAGAAGTTTTTCACTAAACTGAATTGTTGTGGATTGTTTTGAATCAACTTTAAGCAATGCTTGAATTTTTCTGTCTGAGAATCTTAAACTTGTATTTACCTTACTGCTTCTACTTACATTCTAGACTGTCAACGATTGTCAAAATCTATCCAGTTCTCTCGTTCATTTTATTGTAGAGGAGACAAATCCAACCCTTGGCTACCTTCAAGTTGTTGGTAAGTTTCATTCTCATTCCAAAAACTTTTACTTCCATCATCATCAATTTTGCCACTTCCTCTTCATTCCTTTTCTGTTCATTAATTAAATTTCCTTGATTTTAAGTTTTTAATGGACTGAAATTTCTTTTTTGGTCCACATTCTTGCATGTGTGGAAGTAGATGACAGAAAGTTTGCAGCATGTAATGGCAGTTGCTTAACCACAAAATTACAGATCGATTGGCACATGGCTAATATCATTGACTTTTCCTTTCTTCCCACAAATTTCCTTCTCAATTCACTTCCTCTTGGCTTTTCATTCACTTGAGTTTTTTCATGGTAAAGTTACACAGCATAATGTGCTTAATATCAAGACTGTTGTTGCTGTTTTTCAACTTTCTCTACTTAATATGTGAATTGGCTTCTCCGTCTATAATATTGCGAATGTGTACATGAGTACGTGTGTTTTACATCCACAAACTAATGACTGAAGAAGGACATCAGTAAAAGTTTAATAAGCTCATGTTCATGTTCATGTGTGCTGAAGAAAAAAGTTTTTCATTTTCATGATAAAATTGAGAATGAAAGAGATTGTGCAGGAACATGAAACATTGTCAATAAATGGAATGACATTCAAAGTTGTTCCTTCATCCTCAATTTCACAAAGAATTTCCTCAATTTTATTTTTCTTTAATTTATTTTTGTGATTTTTCAATTTTTTTGTTCCTTCCTCATTTCCTCATTTTTTTGCATGAGATTTTGTGAATATTTGATAAAGTTCACGACACACAATCAATCAAAAAATTCAACGACTCACTGGAAGTAATTTTGAGAATCAACAAATGTGAACTTTGAGATTTTTTTCTCATTTCCAAAAAAAAAAGTTTTATTTTATCCTTGCATTATTGATTAATACCCGATGACGACGATGATGAATTTGTTTCATAATTTACTAAATATTTGCTATACACAAATTACTTTTCTATTTACTTGCCATACTTTCCAAATATTTTGGATATTAAAAGCACTCCATCATGATGGAAGGTAATCAAAATGAAATTATTCAATGCCATCATATGGTCTGCAAATGTGAACTTATTTCGTTTCATCAATATTTAATCCTAGTTATGCCTTTTTTGCTAATTATATGAATATGAAGGCGATGATTTATGCTTTTAATTAGATGTAGAAATGGAATTAATTAAGAAAGTTTTGATGTGAGTGGATTAAATGGATTGAAGTAAGGAATTGTAAGGAATATGAAATTTAATGTCCAACTATTGGCTGGAGTCCGGATCATCTGGCAAAATCCATGGTACCCGATACACTAGTTTATAATTATGATTTAATTACTGTAGATTAATAGTTCGCTGCAACTATCAATCTACTTACAGAATTGTTCAATTAATAAATATTCAATAAAATGAACTGAAATGAAATAAACTTATGAATGTTCACACGACCGTTACAACTAAAACGAATTAAATTAAATAAGTCTGTCGTTCCAGAAAAATCCTTTCCAAATATTTTCACTTCCAAAAATGTATTTTCCAAATAAATATTTTAGAAAAATTTATTTTCCAGATAATTGTGTTTATAAGTGGAAAATGAAAGTTTATAAGTGGCCTTATTGTCCCTTCGTGATTTTTCATTTTTCGGATTTTTCATCCTCTAGTGTTATGGACTTATCATTTTTCGGTGCAATTGTGTAGCCTCCACAAATTTGGGGGACAAAATTGTTTTAATTTATGGAAATCCATGAACATCCAAAGAAATCCATGGAAATCCATAGAAATCTATGGAATTCCATGATTTTTAAAGATTTTCTATAATCTATAGAAATCCATGTAATTTAAAGGTTTCCTATAATCCATAGAATTCCATAGAAATCCATGGATATCCATGGATTCTGCCAGATGATCCGCACCCATTGGCTGTTATGTAACTTTTAAAACTGAGAATCAAAGATTGAAAATTACAAAAATTCAAGCACTTTCAAAAACCAAAAATTAAATTCAAATCCAACAATATAAATGTCATTTAGGCATGTAGCATGAACATCATTTCTATCACAAACATTTTTCTGAAAATTCTACAAAAATTTCCAACTTTTGTACCACAAAGAGTTGTCAAAAGTTTTAAATTAAATTCCAAAAGTTGAAATCATGACAGCAGAAAGATAAAATTGTCAAAAGCTAGTTGAAATGATGAATTTAAAGAAAGTAAGGAAAGATCGTAATTAATAGACACAAGATGAATTTCATAGCTGACCAAATTTATTTTTGCATCCACAATTATCTACCTTTTGCTTTCTTAACTTTTTCTGTCTCTCCACAGAAGCACAACACATAGACGAGACTTGTTTTTGAATTTTTAATGACACTTAAAAGAAGAAGTGCTTTAACATTTTCAGACTGAGCTATACTTCCAACATCCGATGAGCATAGTTTGTGGGCAATTTTATTTGGATCAGCTGTAAATGAAGCTTGTCGTTTTGTCTCTGTTTTGGGATGAGTTCTTAATATTATTTTTGAAAATGGAAGTGAGGTCAATAGAAAAAATCTAAAAAAATTGAGTTTTGGACCAACACCTCAAAGGGTTTAATATTAAGGAGGCTGACAAGTGTTGTCTGCTGCAATGCTCAAGAAATTATTCTAGAAGATGTCAATGCCTCTTAAAACCAGTAAATTCCAAAAAATTCATCATTTTTAACTTGTTTGATGTATGTTCACAACAATAGTTTAATAGCTGAAAGTTAGGTGACTGCAACATGGATTAAGTTGTTCAGTTTGATGTCACAATGAGGAAGCTGTATAGACAATAGAAGGAAAGGAAAAATTTTTGTGGTAATTCTGTCGTATTTTGCATCTGCTTTTAGTCGAAATAAATATTGCATAAAGATAAAGTGTGATGGGATTTTTCCTTCACAGAGTTTAAAGGATTTCTCGTAGAGTTATTTTTTTTTTGTAATCCAGAAAATGCACAGGAATGAGATGTAGATGCAGTTCAACGAAAAGCTTTTAAAGGATTTTTTAAAACTAAACAGAATTTTTTCTACTCCATTGGATAGATGTTTTATTCTGTCCTTATTTACAGCTCTGAATTTTCTGTGCTGCTGCTTATTTACGCTTCATTTGAATTTTGTTTAAATAATAAATTAAAATTTTCTGTAAAGCTGTTTTAAATTGCATTTTATGGAGCAAGTTTGGGATGATTGGAGGATGGATTTAAAGTTTGTCATGTAATTTTTAATGTATACCAAGATTATGTTCATATTTTACTTTTTGGAATCTCCAGTAAGACTCTGATGGTCTATATAAGTTGTTGAAGCTCGATTAAAGCCTTCAATCTCTTGGAATTTGATAAAAGACTTTTACAGTAACGGAAGTAATGCATTCCATAGTGCATAGCAACTAAAATTCGAACATTCAAAAAGTCTTATCCAGGTCAAAAATTTGTATTCCAAGAGTTATTTCCAACCATCCCTTAAAAAAAGCATCATTTTAAAAATTCATTTCCAATAAAATTTAATAAATTGAAATTCCGAGAATATTTTTTTATTCTCACATAATAATGTGAATGAGGAAAAGTTTCCGGGTGTGCAAATGAAATAAGGAAAAATAAAATGGAATGTCGTCTTCCTATTGATATTGCCATATCATTTCCTCATATGTGTTCACATACATATAACTACATGTACATAAATAATTTAAAAGTAAAGAGTGTAGATAAACATGAGAAAAAAAGCAGAAATGACATTTGGCAACAAAACGACTATTGATATACAAAGCAAACATCATCAATGGTACATTGAAAGAAATGACAACATCATGAAATGAGCAACAAGAAAGACGGAAATAATTGAAGTTTCTTGTTTTATTTGTCTCATAATGATGAAAGCCCATAGGGTTACAGTATCGCAATTAAGCAGCATTTTTGTCATATTTACAGAGCGAGAAAATGAAAAAGTTCACAGCCGGATGTCACTGCAAATAATTCTGATTTTTTTTTGTGTGATGTAAACTGTAAATTCATTCAGAGCTCGGGGATGCAGAAAAGCTAGCAAATTAGAGAGTCAAAGAGACGATAGGATGGTCTGAAATATAGGTCACTAAGAAGTGAGAACAGTCTATAGTCTATAATGGGTACAAACTATTAAAATACCTTGAATTCTGCTTCTTAAAAAATATTTTTTTCAGGTTTTGTCACTGGTCTGGCTTGTCAGTCTTAATATCTTCTTCAGTCCATAAAAACAGGACCAAATTGCCTATCAAGTCTCAAATCCCTATCACTAATTTACGTCCCAAATTTTGTAATGTCTTTCTGAAAAATAAATTATGTCACTCTTTAAATCCACAAGCAAAACATCATGAGTAAAAAAAGACTAAAGAATAAATCGAGACAAAGATGAATTCTTCTCCCCATTAAATGATTCCCTTCTTTTGCGCAAGAAAAAGCATCGAGCGAAAAAAACAGCAATGTTGATGATGATGATGACTGAAAAGGGCAAGCATGTGTAAAGTGATGTCCCTTTTCACTGGCACGTTTAAAATGGGAAACGAAAAGACACAGGAAAAAAAATTGAAAGTGTAAAATAACAAAAAACAGGTAAAAATACAAAAACTACCGTAAGGTGTAAAAATGAATCTCTAGTTTTTTTTTCAAACTCTCTGTGATGTGCTGTATATGGGAAAGGAAGTTGGAAAAACTGTTGACTGTCGGGTTTTCATTTCTGAGTGTGTTTGTATGTTTAAATTGAAATGAGATTTTTTTCCTCCCTTTTTCTTGTTTGTTTTACATGTGCAAAGTGTCTTTTGATATTTTCGAATGACAAACAAAAATTTCAAACGAATTTTTGTGTTTTCCATTAAAATTAGTGTTTTTTCTGTGTTTAAAATAACAGTTTGCAGATGGAAGTGTTGGAGAAAATAAACCCATTGAGGATTAATTTTAATTTATTTATAGACTAAGGCATTAATGAGAGAATTTCATGTTTATTTAATTTTTTCACATTTTATACTTTTCTGAGCAATTTTATTAAGGGGCTGTTCACTTATTACGTAACGCGAAAAAATCCCCCCTCGTAACAAAATTTGTATGAAAAAAAATTTCCTTGTTTGAACCGTAACAAAATCTTAGACCCCCCCCCTAAAAGCGTTACGTAATAAGTGAATGGCCCCTAAGCAAATTTATGAAGAAGGAGAAGTTATGGGCCATAAGCGTAGACAATTGTGATCAGATTTGGTTCAATCTAGTCAAATTTGGATGGTCTCTCATGTGACTTAGATTATGCACAATGGGTTAGCTCAGAGCTCAATTTTCATCAATTTTGTTTGGCGGAGTCGACTCCACACAAAGTTTCATCGATTTCGAGCTCGGGGTTTGCTAAATCAATCCCTTCAATACCAGTAAATTTTTTTTTTTAACAAGTCAAAATACCAAAGTTCAAACAATGACCCTCTCCAACCCCAATACTCATTTAAACTACAAAACAAACTTCATTAATTTCCACATTCTCCATAACCCCCCCTTTGCCTATATCAATCCATAATTTTCCTCAATTTTGTTATAAACTCTCGCAAAAATAATGATTGCCGCACGTTTCGACGTCACTCGAATGAAAAACAGGAAGCAAACAATTTCGTTGCAATGAAAAAAAAAAGTTTAAACACCTTTAAATTGATGCTAATGATGTTGTTGAAAAAAAAATATATTTAAAATTTTTGTAGGTGAAGAAGAAAAATAATAAAATACATTAAAATTTAGTGAATGTGGATGAAGCCCTTGTGGGAAAATTTTCTGGATATTTGGAATTTTATTAAATTTTTAAGCAGTTGATGCCTCACAAAAATGTGAGTTTTAACCTAAAATAAATTCACAATAATCCCACAAAATTTCACCGCATAGGAATATCCAAAACTCTCCAATACTGATTGAGCATTATGCAAATTGATATCGATGTGAATCAGAAACATTCTTTCCCATTCTGTTTATGCAATTTTTTCATAAATTAAAGCTCATCGAAAGGTTAAAATGTCAGTCGAAAGGTGAATAAATGATTGAGTGTATAATATTTTTTATATAAAATTTCGATTGCTCGTGCACGAACGATTCATATTTTATGGAAATGTTTTGTATTCGAAATTCAAAAGAAATGTTTTCATTAAGAAATGCTTAAAACATTTTTATTTTTAAAGGAGAACAGCTTGACATTCCGAAAGGAATAAAGAAGATACTTCAATTAATTCAATAACAGTTTCAGTCTCCTTACTTTTCATGAATATCAAATTAAAAACGTTTCATATTAAAAACAATTTCATAAAAATATTTTCCCATACCTACACTCAGGTACCATCGTTGTGTGGAACATCAGCTATGCATTTTTCAATTTTTGTTATAAAACATTAAATTTTACTTGCACAACTTCATAAAACAATTTTGCAAACTAACATTAAAATGATTTCTTTTTGGTGTACATTAGGCGTGGACGGTGGCTTCAGTTCAGTTTCAGCTCAGCCTTAGAACAGCATCATCTCAGCTGCAGTACAGCCACAACTCTGATTCGACTCTTCTTCAGTTCAGCTCAGCTTCAGCTTAACCTCAGTGTTAGTTTAACCTCAAATCAGCTTCTGTTCAGCCTCAGCTCAACTTCAATTCAGCATCTATTCAGCTTCTGTTCAGCCTCAGCTCAACTTCAATTCAACATCTATTCAGCTTCAGTTTAACCTGAGCTCAGCTTGTTAACAGCATTATTGGTAATTGATAATAAAATAACAAATAATCTCAACTGCCCAAAATAAGGGATTAAGATAAGTAGTGTCCCTCGATACCTCAAGCTCATCCGCATTGATTCCCAAACACAGAAAATATCCAAAATTTTCAAATCCTCTGACAAAATATCTTCATCAAAACAATTTCAAGCTTCTAATCCTTCTGCATTTATTTTTCATGATAAATTAAATTAAAAAATTCAAAGATGGAAGGGAGACTGGAGGGAAAGAGAAGGCGAAAGATCATGAAAAATTGCAACATTCTAGGGTTACAGCAAAAAAAAAAAGAATTCAGTAATTTGCATTTCACTTCTCATTTACTCGCTCCTTCTTCTTTTGCTCATTGCAAGAGCAGCCACACACATTTTTAAAAAAACAAAAGAGAGTGAGAGAGGAACCAGAATGTGAGAAAGTGAAATGGAAACATTCCATTATCGTAAATTCAAAAACTTTGTCCAATTTTCAACAATATTTGCATTGTGCATGTAGAATGAGGAGTTGAAATTGCACGCTGAGACGATGACGACGACAACGACGACAATGCATTGAGAATGAAGAAGAACAAAATTAATTCAATTAATTTTCACTCTTTCAAGTGCACTTTCAAAGTGAGAAGTGCTCTAAAATACGAGACCACATACTCATAGCCACAAAATGGGAAGTTTTTGTTTCATTCAATTTTATTTTATTATTTCATGAAGTTGAACAAATTTTCATTTACGAAAGCATTTTAAATTAATTAACCAGGATATGATGGATTGAAGCGATCTTGGAAGGTGTGCCATTGTGTTAAGCGTCCATTTTGTGGATTATTTCTGTTAACTGACTCAGCCTCAATATCCAAATAATTCTGACCATCCAACGTATATCGAGCCCAGCGAGTTGTAATTAGAGAATCTGTGACTGGAGTTGGATCACCGAATGTTGCAAAGTTAGACCACATTCGGACCATTCTTCGTCTTATCGTGATTGCTTGGTTGTTGGGGAGGATTGGCATTGGGAAGTTTGAGACATCGAATAAGTAGAAAATATCCTGATGGGAATTAGAATAAGGTTTAAAAGGCAAAGGTTTATGATTTATTTTAATAATTTAAACTTACATCGGCATGCATAGCACCAGGATACTAGTAAGTGGGATAAGAAAATAGAATCAATTATACTGATAGACAGATTCAAAAGAGAACAACAAGATCCCATCATGTTGTTCCTTCCTTAAGTTCCTAACTCTGAAACCAAACCACTAAAATAATTCACAACTCACATCAGCAAGCAATATCAACCGTTTCATCATATTCAATGAGCCATCGTAGCTAAACTTGTAATAATAAATAGGCTGCGTTTGTCGTCTAACATGATAGCGTACACTTCTGTCAACAAAGAATGAAAATTGATGGTCGGTGCAGTATGTAGTCCAATTATAGCGAATTGCATCGTTTGGATGTTGTCCACCCATATAAGAATTTCGGAATGTTGTTGCAACTTCATTGACCTGAGCTGATTGTGTTACGGGATTTAAGTTGTATGATTGTGGGACATAGAAGTGTGGATTGTTAGCAAATTGATCAAACACGGTATTGTCTAGCAAGGCTTCACGTATCATGAATAAGCTTTCATCCTAAATTGTGGTGTGTTTGATTTGGGTTGGGCGAATAGAGTAAATGTTTTAGTGATTCATGTTGCTTTTAAAATTCATGACTTACACTTGTGTATCCAATAATCATTGGAACAGTCATAACTTGTCCTCTTGTCATTATATTGACTGGTGTATCAACAAGGAATCGTTCTTCGGGTGAATTTGCAGGTTCAACACATGGAACCCATGCAAATGATTGGAATCCTCGAGGAACTGGCATGTCCATCAATCCTGTCTGTGCATCCATAATTGTGCGCCATGATAATGTTCTCAATTGATTGGCTAAGTCTTGTGAACTAGACCAAGTGAGTCCAAGTCTTCGTCCTAAAGCAGTATATTGAGCAACTGGATCAGTTTGGAATCCCCAAGGAACATTAGCTGTACCCGATTGCATGATGGCTCTCTGGAACAGCTGTTGATGTTTATTTTGAATCAAAATTTATCATTATAAAGATATAGTTAATCAAAGACTTACACCTGCTCCCATTTGTGTGAGTAAAAGATAGTGAACCTAAAAATAAGTGGAAATTCCCGTGAAACGATAAGAAGGTTTAAGATAAAATTGTGAACTTACGCTGACTGAACCAGCACTTTCTCCAAATACGGTAATAGAATTAGGGTTTCCGCCAAAGTGTTGGATGTTGTTTCTGACCCCTGAAAAGGTATATTCAAGCTATTTAAGGAATTTCAAGGTTTTTTTCACAACTTACATCTCAATGCTTCAATCTGATCTTTCATGGCCCAATTTCCTTGAGCTGCTGCGTCACCAGATGACAAGAATCCCATTATACCAAGTCTATAGTTCATTGATACGACAATAACTCCACCCTAAATCCACGTTTAATATCTTAATCAGTCAGAATTGAATGCAATTAGACCAATTCACTTACATCATTCACAAGAAAATCCGGTCCATAAATTTGACTGCTTCCATCGCCTAATGTAAAAGCTCCTCCATGAATCTTCGCAATTGATATGATAATATTACCAACAGAAGGCAATAATATTTACAATCTACTTACCCAAACCTTTGGAGATTAATATTTTGTATTAAAAAAATTAAATTTACATTCGTATTTCATATCCATACCATAACAGGTCGATTTCCAGTTGTAGACGGTGTAAAAACATTCAAGTATAAACAATCCTCATCGGAATTTGGTACAGGCATGCCTGCTAATGGTCGGTGTGGGCATGATGGTCCGTAACTTGATGCGTCTAATACGCCACCCCATCCACGATGTGCTACGGGATTGCGGAATCTCAATTGTCCAACAGGTGGTTCTGTGTAGGAATGGAATGTTTAAGGTTCAATAGTATGTGGATGTTTCAAAAATGATAATTACCAGCAAAAGGAATGCCTCTGAATGCCCAAAAATGAGGCTGTAAAATTCCAGTTGACACTCGGATACCTGAAAGTTGTCCTTGTGGGATTGTCACAGTGAGTCGTTCCTAAATAGAACACAATTGATTACAAAATATCCGAAGGAACTTAAATTATCTTACCTGTGCAAAGACAGCAACAACGCAGCTTAAAAGCAGCACAAACTTCAACATTTTTCAGCTGCAAATTGAAAAGAATTAAAGAACGAGACATCCAATTTATACTTAAAGATAAAAATGCTTATCCTTATCAGGACTTCATGTGGGGTTAAGATAAGCATATTGGGAATAGATTCTTATCAGATAAACTTGATACTCGATTTAAATTCTACAATTTGAGTACTTAAGGGATTAGAAATAGTAAATAAAGTTATTGTGACGTAATATTTACTGTCCAATCATTCGGAATGGCACAATCATCCTTAATTCTATTAATTCCTGAAAAATCTTCAAATTAAATGAGAATCAGAAACAATAAAAGCATATTCACATTAAAGTAATCAAAATTTAAATAATTTCACAAAAGTGTGCATCTCATTCCAGCACCTGAAATCTATGCAAATTATCAAAACATATTCCATAGCTTTCATGACTTGCAATTAATGCTCAGATTGAGGTGAGGTTTGTTTAATGATTCCTTTTTTCTTCTGTTATTTCAACAACAAAAATGCCACAGGTGGATGGAATAGCAAAAAGCTTATGCTCAGTCATTCATGCCATTTCTGTCTGAACTGTAAAAAAAATTTTCATTTTACTTTAAAATAAACAGATTGTGAGTGAGACGGAGGAAATTACTGAGGAATAACAATGATTGTGCAAAAATGTGTTCAACCTTCTTTAAAAAAATTATATTGCAGGTGATGGGATTTTTTTTTGGGAGGTTGAAATTTTATAAAGGCTGGCAGGAAAGTTTATTTTGATTACAAAAATAACTGCTGTGTCATCGTGTCACTTAAATTAAAATTGGAGACATACAACTATTTTGGCAATGGGACTTTATGCTGTTTTAGTGGATACCAGACATTGTTGTAATCAGAGAAAAGGTTTGTGGATGTAGCTTGAAGAGCTGAGCATGCTGCTCGCTTTGAAACCGGTCATATGTGTTTAACATATAGCCGAAGTGCGGGAAGAACCTTAGTTTCAAAATGGCAAGGATCTCAGATTTAGTCGTCGGAGATTGCATCTCTTGATGCTGCGGGTTCGATTCCAATCAAATTCAACTTGTTTTTGCATAAATCAGTTAAAGTGAGATCTGCAAAGTTTGTCAGAACTATATTTTTAAAGCCTATCCTATTAACGATAAACAGCAAGCACATATCGATCTAATTCTCTTTAAAACACATTAATTTTTCCTCATCATTTGGAATTCCCAATTTTCCATAATACTCAAACTAATTTTCAACTATTGATTGCTCAATTTGAGGCTTTGTTTGATTGCAAATTCGCAATGAAAAAAGTTTTTTGTAATCCAATTTTTTTCTGTTGTTCCTTGTATCTTCGATAGCTTCAATCCTATTTTTCTGCTATTGCATTGATTCACATGTGATTTGGGCTGAAAATTCAAGTTTTGAATAATCAAAGAAAAATACAAAAAAAAATATTGAGGTTAAAAAAACGATCGACACGCAATGAGAGGAACGACAAAAAGAGCAATAAAAACTTTTCAACGATTCCCTTTATTAACTTTTCATTCGAATAATCTGAAACTTTTTTATTACTGTAAACTGATAGCAGGAACAACAACAAAGTGTATTAAGCTCTGACGAAAAAGAAGAATCAAGTGAAATTGGATCATGAAAATTATTGAACTATAAAATGGTTATTTTTGTTGTTGTTGATAGATTTTGAATTAATAATAAAATGGGATGTGAACTGATTTAAACTTTTAGGACTGCAACCTTCATATTTTCCTATCCTTTCGAGTTATTTTATGACATTTTTACTATCTTGTTACTGCAAAAAAAATATTAAATTCCAATTGATCTCGCAGTTTAAAATGTTGAAATGCAACAGTCTGAAGCTACAAATATTCATCTCCAGCGATTTCCACATGACTTATTGTACACAGTTTACATAATTTATCATACCTTACGACTCATATATGGACTCACGAAGCTCAAAAGCTCATGCATACAATCAATATTTATTTACATTCATGTATTTGACATTATGTGGTGGCTAAATGGGAAATAAAAACAGCAGCATATAACGTTGACAAAGCTATAAATCAATTGATGAAAATATGAAAAATGACATCAACCGCTGCGACCAATCACAATAAATGCCTTAACATTTTATATGTTGATGAAGTAAATGTTTGACGATTCTGTTGGTTTAGCTAGTCCTGATGCTGCTGTTGTGGACTTGAGGTGAAATTAGCTTTCAAACAATTAAAAATAAATATTTACAGCAAACTCTCGTTCCATTGAATTTTGAAATTTAATTTTATAGAAAAGTTTTTAAATAGTTTTTTAATTGATGCTATAAAAAGTGAAACAAAAATTTTCTCACCTGTAAAAATTGGAAACAAATGAGTTTGCCAGCAGTCAGAAAAATGAGAGGAAAAGTTGAAAGTTAATTGAACGGAAAATGTGTTTACTTTAAAAAGTAATTAATCCCATAAAATGCTTAACTTGATGAGTTATTGAATTTTAAATACATTGTAATGCTGCAATTTACTTAAAGTTTTAAATTGAAAAGTTTTTTAAAATACTTTTTTCCAAACAATTAGAATTTATATTTTTAAGAAAGTAAAGCTAGTCGAAGTTTTTTGGAATTTAATAAATTCAATTTATTAGGATTATGACGTGTTGCATCAATTTGAAGGCCCCTGAACATGTGACTCTATTGTGAATGCACCTGAAATTGTGACTCTAGTGTGAAAGCACCTGAACATTTTGAGTAAATGCAAAGGCACCTAAATATTTTGAATAAATGTTAGGGTACCTGAACATGTGACTCTAGTGTAAAAGCACCTGGAGATTTTGATTAAATGCAGAGGCACCTGAACGTGTGACTCTATTGTGAAGGCACCTGAACATGTGACTCTATTGTGATTTCACCTGAAATTGTAACTCTAGTGTGAAAGCACCTGAACATTTTGATTAAATGTAAAGGCACCTGAACATTTTGATTAAATGTAAAGGTACCTGAACATGTGACTCTAGTGTAAAAGCACCTGGAGATTTTGATTAAATGCAGAGGCACCTGAACATGTGACTCTATTGTGATTTCACCTGAAATTGTAACTCTTGTGTGAGAGCACCTGAACATTTTGAATAAATGTAAAGGCACCTGAACATTTTGATTAAATGTAAAGGTACCTGAACATGTGATTCTAGTGTAAAGCACATAAACAATAACAGATTAAAATTTAATTTAAATCTATCACATGACTAAGTGTATGGCTTAAATAACATAAAAATCAATAAATCCCAGATCTATAAGTCTCTCTTAACCTAAATAGATTACTGTTAAAAGATCACAAAATGATTAATACGCACAAATATATCAATATCTCATTTAAATGTTAATCAAATGTCAATTTTACCTCAAATTATTCACATCACGTCTCATCATTTTCAGCTCAAATTTCATCCATTTCACAACTAAACTTTCATAAGAAGATTTATAGTCAAAATATTTAGCATTCATTATTCACATAATCAGCTTAACGTTGATCAGGTGAGGTAGGGGTATGTATAGGCATTGAAAAGAACATCAAAAATGATTCAAGGGGAAAAAAAGTTCATGAAAATACAATCAATAATGATGAATTACAGCACGGCAGCTTTGTAATATAAATGAGTGTCAAAATATGCTTCACAATTTAATGTAAATGTAAATCTGTTTATATACCTCAGGAAAAAAAATTGAGACGGGTGTGTGTGTGTAGGTTTGAGACATAAAAGAAGTGTTTGATGAGAGCAATCAATCTTGTAAGCTTAAATATTTGTAAAGTCATTCTGCACTCAAATCACACTCTATTGAATTGATTAATGAAGATATTTATGGTGTTTACCTAAATCGCAAATCTCTCATTTTCACCTTTTTTGTGGGTATGAGTAAAAGTGTCAAAAAAAAAAAATACTTTTCAGCACCACCAAAGACGTCTCACTGAGATTTCAACAAAAATGTCATCAAGAGGAAGGAAAAAAAGTTGAGCAGTTAAATTTCATCACGTCTCATTCGACGGAAAATTGAAACGTCTTTATGCTTAAAATGTAAATTTCACTCATTCTCATCCCTCCCCCATTGTATTCACCTGCTTAACATAAACATGAACTGGTTCTGTTTAAAATGAATGGAATGGGAATGAAAACAACATTTGTAGTGCACAAAAAAATTTGTTTTCATTTCAAAAAAGTGTTGAAAACGAGTAGTTTACGCTGCTCTCATTATGTGATGTCATAAATAAAATTTAATTTTGATACTTTTTGGGCGATTTTGTTAAGCTTATGTGGCGAGTTTCTATGGCATTCATATGTTGAAATATGAATTATTTTAAAGGTTATTTTTGAAACTTTTGTGAATTTTTTGACGTTGTTCGAAATTGACATTGAGATGTTAGCATTGAGAGGATATATAGAGAGGGCTGAGGTAAAAGATACTCGAGACTTGCCAAAGATTCTGCCAAAGGCTCTTAAAAATGAATTAAGCAGCATCTAATTTATAAATACAAATAGAAAATCTAAGAAAATTGTTAAATGCGCTCAAAAGTAATTCCATATCCCTCCTTAAAAACTCACAAACTCAATCGTCACCTCATAAGATGAAAATGAAAATTTTATTTTAATGTAAAATGTCTTTAAAGAATTTTTATATTCCCATCAAACGACATGAAAATTAAGAAGGAATTTTTGCTTAATTTTCTTCTTTAATTATGACTTTTTCGAAAGAACTTTTGCTTGTACATTCCTTATTTATTTTTCTTCGTCTGAATCTGACGGCATAAGGTAGCTTTTAAGGGTGCATTTAGTTAAATTATGTCTACAAAGTTTTGTCGTTTTATTTAAGAGTAATTTGATTTTTAAATTGAAGGATGTGTGCTTAAGATATTATGAGTAGTAAGGAAACTTTTTTGGATTTATTAACTCGTGACTAGATATTGTTGCCCCTGTCTGTTTATCCTAGATGATCGACCAATTGGATTAGTTGTCCCATGTAAGCAAACG